CTGCTCTGAGTTTTGCATTTGAATAAATGACAAAATTACGCTAGGCAGTAAGTTCCTAAAACAAATTGTCCAACCAGGTCATCTTAGGTCAATGACCTTTTTGACCTCTTAGAAGTAAGTGGAAGATGTATAATACGGTTTATGCCTGTCAATAAATTCGAAATGAGCACCACAAGCTATCCCATACAGCAAGCCCTATAATAATAAATCAGTTTGGTGTCACCTTGGTTTGACCTTCATACATGACCTTAGGTCAACGTAATTTGCTCATTCAATATTTGTGGTGCCTAAGAAAGCATCTCGGAAATGTATGGCTTCGTCAAACACTCCGTTATTGTATCAGATTGGACGATTCCCTAGAAATTGCCCTTCGCTGAAACCATGGCCTGACTTTGACCTGCCACAGGTCAGCGACCTTAACAGGTACATCTAAATTTTTGATGTCAAACGATTCTGCTATTCAATTGTCTACAGCTATGCAAAATTTGGCGCGGCTACGCCGCTTCTTACGAAAACCATTCTGGAAAAACCTTTGGGGGGGATCAATTCGACCCTCTCCACCCAATCGCGTGTTAGGAGCCTCACGCGCTCGGTATTTAGTCCGTGTACTGGACCTCTCTCGCTTTCGGTTTTGCCGCTCTCTCCCGCAGCAAGACCGGTAGAGCTCATGACTTTTTCCACCTATCCGTTTCATGTACCGCCTCCGCCCCTATCCACCACGCACTCACCTCTCCTTTGGCACCAGACAAGTCTATCAACATCAACACTCGCACACCAACACTTTCAGTAAGGCTTTCATTGACTAGCATATTAATGCTTTCATCGTTAGATTATCGTTTCTGTGAAGGAATTGAGCCCCCAGTGGCAGGACCCGTGTGTTGTGTTGGATGTGCGCAAACTGCAGCTTGCATTTCTGGTGTACTTCGTTGTCATTCTTCTGCCAGTAGTTCTTTCTTGAACTATGTCATTGTCCATGGTGTTGCTTGTGTAGTAAAGAGCAACTATCGCAAGTTGCAAATTATCGGGATTGCTTCCTGTTGTGTTTTTTGCGAATCAGTGTGTTGTGCTGGCTTTAGACAAAGTGCACAATATTGCGGTCCCATGTTTTGTAGTGGTGACGTGTGCGCCAGTTCCCTTGCCTTCAAATACTCATATTTCATTCATGCGGAGAACTGGCCGTTCTAAAGTAAGTTGAGTGGTTAACCTTGTTTTGTTTGCGGCAATAATACAATGGATGCATTCCATCAGTCGCAGTCATCTAAAGTTGCGTGTTGTAATGTCGCTGACGCGGAATTCCTCAAATACCATTCTTAGCCTAAATGCTAAATAAAAGCTGGTGAGTGTGTTCGCGCCGGTGTCTGCTCTTGAGGAACCGGCGGGGCAGCCCGATCTCGGGCGCCCCGGGACCGTCTGAAACGGCCCCATCGGACAGGCGGGGGGTGGGCGCCAGGGTGCGGCGTGCATAGGACTGAGTCTGCCGTGCTCATAGGCGCTCGCTCACTGGCTGATCCGGACTGGGTGACACCACAGACGCCTTCACGCGACGCTGGCACAGCTCCAGCAGTGCGGTCGGCATCCCATGCTGCGTGGCTGCCCGCGAGCCCGGGAGAGGAGCGCCACGCGCACCGGCGTGCAGCCAACGGCAGCGTCGCGCCCGCCCGCTATGTTGATTTTCATGGCTGGCCCCGTTTATCCGCTGGTCTACCGGCCAAAATGGCCAGGGCTGCGGAATACGGCTTAAGTGCAGCAGGTGGCCAACGAGAAGCTTCACCTCACAAACCGCTGAGACTATCTGGCACTGCAAAAAGTGTCCTTGGACCATGGGATGGCATGCAGCGACACAGGCACAGTGGCCTTTTCTGAAGTGACGAGCGCCCCTCTACCTCCCTCTACCTCCCTCTTCCCCCTGACGGCCGCCCCCCCCCCCCCCTCGGTCCACTCGTGCCCGGCGCGTGCCGCCTGCCGCGGTCAAGCGGGACGTTGTGGGGGTGTGGGATGAAGCCTGCTTCATCGAAAAGAGGATAACGGGGCCGTATCTTCAATCAGGAATCACGTTTTGTGTTGCATAATACAAGAGGTTGGCATCCCTGCCTAGCTTTTTACGTAAGACCTGCAGCCGAATGACTCAGCGGGAGTGCTCCACATTTGTAAGAGGTTTTGAAGCGGAAATAGCCATCTTGGAGATCGTCTATGCAATTCTCAGAGATGCTCTTCTAAAGGCCTAAACCCCCTCCCCCCTGGTTTCTGAGCTACACGCGAAGATGTACAGACTATTTCAAGGTCACCCAGGCATCCATGGCGCAATAATAACGCTATTTAAATTTTGCCATTCCATTGATCATGCGGCGATCAAATCCAAGAAAAAGATAATCGTCGAATCGTTCATGTCTGGCGTTCGTGAACACGGTTTTCAGATACAACGGCCGTTAGTTGGGTTCTCAATGAATGTTGTGCATTGTATGATGACGTAATCAACCAATGACACATTGAGCAGCATATTTACGAAATAGAAGGCACCAATAGTAATAAGTAGAGCTTATACCACCATGCCTAATGACTGCTTTAATGCCTTCAAATGTGGAACACTTTCTTTAAGCACGCCATAACCGGGCACGGCAACACCTGAGCACCACCAACGGCCCCACGGCCTTCCCATTTAAATAAGGTGCTACGAGTGAGTGCTAGGCTGGAGATTCTGCACAGCTAGTTTGGCAGAGCCTCGGCGTCATACAGACGTTTCATGACGCGTACAGGGATTTTGGTATTTAGAGTAGTCGCTTCCACTTAAAGCCTTACATGTGAACATTCCCTTCGAGCATCGTAACTTTTTCTCAGCACATAAACTAGCATCGCTGCAAACGTTCTGACATATCAAGATCCAGCTTCAATGCTAAACTCAAGGTAAAATGACGGGAGCCCAATTCGACAACTGACCCGCCGATCTTGGATTTTCAAGCATCGAAACATTCTTAACCGCGTAAGCGTGCGCATCCAAACGCACTGCCCGCTAATGTTAAACTTTCATTAGGCGATATGGGTTATCTGACAATGAATTTTACCTTCCACCTAGATCTAGAGAGGTCATGATTTCTTGACGGCGTTAAAAGTCTGATAGCTAAAATCCGGAAGTGTTCGGCAACATTTGAGCAATGTAGGACGCTAGTTCGTGCGCTACGTTTCTAATGCATACCACAAATCAGTCAGCAACGTGAGTTGCATGAAGCTCTCCGTCATTTGACCTTATGTGTCCACGTGGTATGAAACAGATACATGATTCGATGTTTCCGTGCCGCCACTGCCCACCCTCAGGCGTTTTATTAAAATCGTAGGCTGATGGCTACTAAATCGCTGACCTCACCGGCGTGCAGACCGTCTAGTTATATTTCCAGCAGCTCTTTGACTCGCAGTTACCAAGCAGCGAGTTCGAAAATGTAGCCTGTAAGTCGGGCGTGGTCCATCTTCGTGGGCCCAAGATTGTGGAACATGAAGAATTAAATATGGTATAATTTTGACTTCCAGGCTTGCAGAAGTACGGTGGCCTCAAAAATCATTTGATTAAACACACATTTAAAGCGCGGCGTTAAATGATGCGTTTTGTGAGTCATGTGCTTGACAAACTAGTAGTAAGACGAGACGGAGCCTTGAGAATATTACCAGCTGCTTCGCAAGCTGGCGCGGTGAAGGGATGCATTCGGCACAGCGCGCTCGGAGTTCGTTATAACGGACAGCGTTCTAGTGACATCGCGTCAAGCACGTTATTACCCAATATTAGGCGTTAGACGTTTTCATTTTATACCGTTTCACCTGATCGGAAATAGCCGTGGGGTTGCCGCGATATTATACCATGACAGACAGGCCTGATGAAAAAGCTCGTACACAAATGCCTAGCTGTGCGGGCAACGGAGCTCCATGGTAATAAATTGTGCTTCTTATCGCTGTGCGAACGTACGATCCACGATCCAGGTAGTGTGGCGGTTATGCTGCGCGTCTGGGAGACCAGAGGCACGGAGTTCGATTTCCCGCGGTTGCCCGTACTTTCTGCCAGGGTGAGCGGCAGGCAACGCCATAAAGCCTCAACAGCTGCGTGCGTCGTAGAACCCGTATGCCACACACGGGGATAGTGAGCGTAAATAATTACAATCGATATCATTCCAGTATCATTCTTAAATCGTCACAATATTCTTAACACTTAGTTTATGCGGCTGAAGCATGTCTTTCGTCTGGCCCAGTTCGCCACCACGGAAGCGGCACTAACGCGGAGTGGCTACGTGTATTTCCGCACCACACGACGCACAAGCACAAGTGGTCGGCAGCGAGCGGAGCCCATGTGGCGACTGCCCCTACGGCGTGAGTCAGAGAGCGGAGAGTGGCGGCACCGACCAGCCGGTCTGCAGCACCCTACATCCTCCCGGCTGGCCGGGCTGTACTGCGACGTTCGGCGCGGCAATCAAAACAACGGCCAGGTGTCGCCACGCTGCGGTCCAGCTCCGCGAACTATCGTGGTAGTGCACGCGCGAACGTCTGCAGTCCCTTAATAAAGCGGTAAAAGTCCGGCGTGGCCTGCGAACAAAAGTATCGCAGTACACAACGGTGCGTACAATCGTGTAGCCTCGGCTTAGCGTTTACCATTGTCACCATAATTTACACCATACTTAAGGTGGAACTATTCGTGAAAAAGCACGACGGCGGGTGCGCTGGTGTGAGACTCAGCTCCGCTCTTCACATGAGCCCTCATTCCCCGCCCCCACACGACCGATACCCTCGCTTGTTCATTTAGGGTCCTCAGACAGCCTCCTCCGGCAGGGGACCGCGCAGAACACAACAGGAGACGCTTAGCCACATGTCACCACCATCTCTGACCGGGTCTCCTTGCCATTTCCGTTCGAGCCATCCCGTCACTGCCCGCGGGGACTGACGCCACGCGGCTCCATCAGGATGGCGGCGGCGGCGGCAGCGCCCGGGTCCGCCGGTGCCGGCCGTGGCGCCGACTCCCCCGCCAGGCCGCCGGCCACGTCCGGCACCATCATCGGCTGCGATGCCATCCATTTGTCGTCCAGCGCGTTCGCCGTCATCAGGTGCTCTACCTGCTTCCGCTCCGACTCGTCCAACACCACCTGGCGGCGACAACGTCAGGCTTCATATTCCACCGATAATCAGGTTGAATATCATACCACACACTGTTGACTGCAGCATACTTTTATGGTGAGCCATAAAACACAATTCAAAAGCTTATTTAGAATCCGGAACGTGGCATGATTAAGGGGACACTTCAGGTAAAAGTATGTGTTTTAATATCAACGCATTTTAACAGGTTAACTCATCTGCGTGAAGGTGTAGATGCAGCTAACGATGACAAGCTGCGGACACTCAGACATAACAGGCTGTCTGCACCCAAGAACTCACGCACTGAGCCGAATATCTCATCGCAGGAGATTCAGTCTCCGAAGGCACTGACAGACGTCATCATCTAAAGATGTCATCATCAAGACCTCTGACAAGCCAATTTTTCGTCATTGACAAGCAACAGTACATGGACAACGCGTACAAAGTGCTGGAGAACCCAGACGACTACAAAACATTTCAGCGAGGTCCGACAGCAGTTGTCCAGATCACTGTGCAGCCTATCACGAAGAAGTTGGTAAGCGTACGGGAGGCCAAGCACCTTGCCCTTCACAACTGCTAAATGTCCATGTGCGGTCTCCCTTAACATCACAAACCAGGAATACCTTTACGCTCCATTGTGTCAAACTGCTCCTCCATCACTGAAAAGTCATCTTACTTAGTCAAACACATCTGACCAATTCTAGATCATTTCTTGAAAAGTTTAAGGCAAAAAAACCCTCAAAACTCCATACAAAGCATTGGTCTTCGAAATGGCTGTGTTATCACTATGCACCAATATTCTTATACATGAGGCCATCATAGCGATATCTGGTGTGCTTCAGCATCACGCCAACATCATTCAGATATTTGGCCCTGCGGCCCTTGTCGTCAAAAACCTCATGAGATTATGCCTGCAGAACAGCTTTCTCGGCTAGAAGACGTTAACGACGAGCAAAGCGCGGGGCCAACCATGGGAAAAATAAAATAGGTTCATCGGTGGCCATACCATTCACGCACCACCTAGGAATTCAGATCGATGACACCCGGAGACCCGACTTTTTATGCGATACACAGATTATCCTGTTGGGGTGTGGACACAGGGTGAGCAGAGTTTCTGCCGACTTCAAACCATGTGAACTTTCTCCACCCATCCACACAGTTTCAGACCAAACGTCGGGATGAAAACGGTGCTAACAATGAACACGATGTTATAGACGTTTTCTTGACACGCTCTCCAAAAAACACACATGTGACCAATCACTAGGAAAAGAAACGCATTCCAGCAAGACCTCACATGATTCATGCGCGCATACGAGACGCACAAAAAAAGAAAAATGCTTCGGCGAGCTGTTTAGCTTTCACCCATACCGCGGGTAATCCACCGCGGCACAGATCGTAGCGGTCATTCCATGGCTTGCTTCAATCTTAGTTACAAGGAGAGTGCCACATTTGCATGGGGACACAAGGTTTGAACTGAAATGGCCATCTTAAACACCATTCGGCGCAATTCACAGCCCTGTCCTTCTTTAAACCTAAACCCCCCTGGTTTCTGAGCTACACGCCCGAAAACACGTGCAGACTATTTTGTGAAGACAATTTCAATATTATCCAGACCCCATGACGCCATGACAACTTCATTTAAATTGTGTCATGTGGCGATCAATGTAAAAAAAAATGTCGAGTCGTTCATAGCCGGCGTTCGTGGGCACGATTTTCATATATAATTACCGTCAATTGGCTCTCAATCAATGTTGCGCAAATTGCGATGACGAAATCAAACAGTGTCATGATATGGAGCATGTTTTCTAACTAAAAAATTGCGTTATCTACAAATTACGCTCTCAACGCTTTTTACCAGCATCGCGCTTCTTTCCTGTCGTCGCGACCACCGTCATCATGCTAAAGGCCATGCGCACCTCTACTGATGCGAATAAAAGAACGTTTGTGGTTGGCTCAAAGGACAAGGGCCTGTTACCGAGAAGTTGGTGGGTTGAAATTTGAACCACTACGTCACATAGATCATGTGCTTTGCTACTCCTATTCCCACCGGCAAAGTGCGTTTCGAAAAGGGCCACCGTGGTAAACGTCATAGGGGAAAAATGAAAGCCAAAGTATAACGTTTCGTTGAGTTCGTGCGATAAAAGCTTCATGTTCGCATATATTTTTGCCTAAGCAGTGTTTCGAGCTTCGAGCTAGCATTGATTCCGCGAACCTTCTGACACGTTTGCGCATCGCAAACATTACAGAACATATACCTTGGACGAACAATGCTACTGAAATGTAACGCCTTTATAGTGGTTAGCAGGGAGTCAAATGCGATTTTCTCCTGCAGGGTCGGCTACTCCAAATAGAAATTCTGAGCTTGTTAGAACTTCGAGAAAATTGGTATTGCTAGTCAAATAGTACGCGTCTGATGCAACAATTAGTTAAGTCCGAAAAGTGGGATGAAAGTACAAGAAGTACCCGCTATCAATCAGCGTCTGATTTGCCGGTCTTTCGCCAAGAATAGATCGTGGTGTACCTCACATTACCTTACATCAACGATTAATTACGTCACAGGTCCCGAACAACCGTCAAAAATAACGGAATAAATGCAGTGGCATGGACCAATCCAGGGTCCCTCAAACAGCGTTGGGTGCATACCGCACTGCGCAGGCCAAAATGCCCCATCAAAAGGGGCAAGCGTGTCCCGTATGCCTCTGGATTTGATAGCACTTGCCCCACCTACAATGCAACGCATTCCATCATATACACTCTGTGTTCTGCTACCTACAAAGTCCATTCGTCCGGTACGTGGAGGTTTTTTTACCATCTGCGTGCAGCATTCAGCAAGGAAATAAATAACCCAGTTAGGCTTCATTTTCGGGCCCATCATTGATTTGATTGGCATCCCCCCAAGATAATCCGGGGAAAATGTAGGGCGAGTGTCGTGGGTACGTGTAAAGAAGACTTGAACAAACAATTTTCATCCGTGCTATGAAGCCCTCCATGACAAAAACGCCCGTAGATGGTCCTTATTAGAGTAGCCAAGTGCACTTACCGGATACGAACCTCAGCACATCACTTTTGCACGTCCATTTCTACCCATTCATGTTGTCCTGATATTGTCATTTGATCACTCTATTCCTGTTACCGAGCCTCCCGTTTTTCGCAATGTGTCAAATGTCTGCGAGATTAACATGGTCAAACTTGTTCAAATTCGCGGGTATAAACACAAACTTTTACATAAATTGTCCCCTTAAACGCTGTGCATTGGCATGAAGATATCCGCGTGGGCCCCACGTGTCCCGGTGTCAGATGGTGTGCATCCTCTGGTCTCTGGCGTGTCCCGGTGCCAGAGGATGTACATACCTGGGCTGGGGGGGGGGGGGGGGGGAGGACGCCAACGCTGTAGGAGAGTCGGGATTGGTCGGCCCGAGGGAGAGCACGTGCTTGCGGAGATTGCCGGTGGGGTGAATGAAGACACAAACGCCCACGATCCGGATTGTTCTTCAGCTCTGAATTATATTTGTTGTGTGTCATACAATTCTAATTTCCAAACCGAACTAGTGAGGACATGTCTGCCGACATAAGGTGATCCTTTTGGATAACTGATTGCATTTCTTGGAGTTTGTGACTGCAGTCAAACAGGTGTGCGGCGTAATATTGACGAAGACGAGCAGTCTCGGAAAGGGTTTGCTATCGATACATAAATTGGTTGAGAGTCAAAAGTCCAAAACCAAAGCCGCACCATCACAAAAAGTCCTCAGCCATGTGGTGGCAGGACGGAGACGGCCAGCCATTACGCACGACGGGTATGATAAAAGGGGGCAGGTAGGTGCCCCCCCCCCCCCCCCCCGCTCACACCTATGCAAATTGTTGCATGTATGAATGTGTGCGTTAGTATACAAAAAACGGAGCAGGCGCGTAAAAATACGTTATATACCACGCTTGATGATTCACGCGCCTACGGCGCGTCGAAAATGTGTATTTCTAAGCGCCCTTTTCCGAAATTTTATATACGTCTCCGACCACAGAGGTCTCAAAAACACGGACGGTCGCAAGACGTTCTGCTCCCAGCACCGGTTTCACTTCCTTCTGCGCATGGCATAACAACTTGCGCACATCATGCCACAAATCGAACGACTCTTATTCCTCGGCGGCCGGCGCGCTCAGCATAGCTGACCTGGACGACCCTGCCGTCGGTGCTGGCGTCCTGCAGCTCTGGCACATACGTCAGGCTGCCGTCTCCTCCTCGCGGAGGATGATGACGGCTGCCTCGGCGCCCGTCTCCGCGACCGGCAGGCCGGCCGCAGACCCCTGCACGCAAGAGGGCGAGGTCAGGCGGCGTTCGGCGCCGACCCGCGGCGCAGCGCGGTCCCAGCCGCACCAAACGACGGCCGCGCCGCCGACGCCGCCGGTGGAGACGCCACCCGACACAAGCGGCAGAAACCTGTGACACGGTCTGGGGGGTGGGACGGGGGACCGAACCACCCAGCTCACTACGAGACCTGACCTCCTGACCTCCTCAGGGATCTGGACGCATGGTGAGCTGCTGAGGAGCCTGGCCACGTGACCTGCCGAGGGGCCCGACCGTGAAACCCTGCCAGAGCGGCCCTGTCCCAATGACCTGACCGTCTGACCTGCTCAGGAGCCTGGCCGCATGACCTGCTGAGGGGCCTGGCCGTGAGACCCTGCCCGAGCGGCTCTGTCCCACTGACCGGACCATCTGACCTGCTGAGGAGCCTGACCACGTGACCTGCCGAGGGGCCCGGCCGTGAGGCTCTCCGACTGACCTGAGACTGCTGCCGCTCCTGCTGCAGCTGCTCTCCGGCCTCCAGCCGCTGCTGCTCCTCCTTGTGGTGCGAGGCCAGGTGCTTGTCCAGGCTCTTGGCCATCTTGAAGCGGAAGCTGCACAGGTGGCAGGCGTGCGGCTTGGCGTTGCTGTGCCGTCGCTGGTGCAGCCTCAGATTGCTGGCGTTGATGAACCTGGCGACGGGAGGCGGCGCGTCAGGACACGGCACCTCTCGGTGAGGGGGGGACGGGGGCCGGGGCCGGCGGACGACAGTTATCCGTTGATGAACCTAGCGACGGGAGGCGGCGCGTAAGGACACAGCACCTCTTGGTGAGAAGGGGACACGGACCGGGGCCGGCGGACGACAGTCATCCGTTGATGAACCTAGCGACGGGAGGCGGCGCGTCAGGACACGGCACCTCTCGGTGAGGAGGGGACACGGACCAGGGCCGGCGGACGACAGTCATCCGTGATGAACCTAGCGACGGGAGGCGGCGCGTAAGGACACAGCACCTCTCGGTGAGGAGGGGACACGGACCAGGGCCGGCGGACGACAGTTATCCGTTGATGAACCTAGCGACGGGAGGCGGCGCGTCAGGACACGGCACCTCTCGGTGAGGAGGGGACGGGGGCCGGGGCCGGCGGACGACAGTTATCCGTCGATGAACCTAGCGACGGGAGGCGGCGCGTAAGGACACGGCACCTCTCGGTGAGGAGGGGACACGGACCGGGGCCGGCGGACGACAGTCATCCGTTGATGAACCTAGCGACGGGAGGCGGCGCGTCAGGACACGGCACCTCTCGGTGAGGAGGGGACACGGACCAGGGCCGGCGGACGACGGTTATCCGTTGCGGGAAACACGGCCAGTCGCGAAAACAACCACGTCTGGAACTGGAGGGTGACTTGGCACAGCCGAGCACACGAGAGGCTGTCGTCGAGACACCCATAACTGGGAGGCGAACGATGTTACCACGCAGAAGAATTGTCGAAAAGTTGTGGAAACCCAGTCAAGGGGATCGCTCCAAGGCGAGAGAACTGTTCAGGGAGATTTTCACTGATGGACGATACAGGCAGAAAAATGGTATGTTCAGCAGGTGCCATAGTCCACACACGCGAGTGCAGAACACCAGTAATACAATTCATGCAAAGAAAGGGGCCTTCGCACTTTGGCACGTTAGCACGGGCAGCTATTCTGACTGCTCACCTTTTGGAGCAGATGGTGCATACCGGAAACCTGTGCTCCGGATCGAGCACTTCAGGCGACTCGCCATTCTGCACATCTTCGTTCAGGTGCATCACCTGAAAACGCGTTCGTTAAGTGTTGGTTCAACGCGACTTATACTTGAAATGATCGCTCTGCTAATGTATGATAATGGTCTGGCCGATCGAACCCAACAACCAACAGTGCAGGCACCAACCACTCTGTCCGAGGTTGGATTCAAGACAGACAGCTCATTCCTGTAGCTACCAAGCAAACCAGGACCATAAAGCGGGGCGACTGAACTCTGGAGGGATGTGAGCGTTCCTTCAAATGTGGAAGATATTGGGGTAAATGCCAGATATGATGAAACAATGAAACGAGCTCACTAGTAACCATTGTTTTGCTTTGAAGTGTACAAGACTCTACACAAATAAAATTCACTAATTAGTAAATATGTTCCTCAATACGTCATCGTTTGATTACGTCATGGAAACTTTTTATGACGTCAGAGTTGCTAGAATTGTCACTGTAGCGGACGAGCCGACTCACTTAAGCACTTCAACTTGCCGAAAGGTGACGTTCTTTGCAACAGTATGTTTGCTGAGCCCAAATGCCGTTTTGTGCTCGTGTTTTAGCCCTTCGTGATTGTTCTTACATTTCTGCGCTTTTTTCTCGCCAATTGACTGACTGAATGTTATACATTTGCAGGAAAACATGGGTTGGCCGTGATAAAACACGTTTTGATCCATTCGATTTACAGTCTACACTTACGGGGGCATCAATATCTCGGTAGAATCCAGATCAAAGTTCTGTTGAAGGTTCTGAGATGCAACGGTTTACAAGGAGTCCAATAAGCCAATATAAAAAGAAGAGCGCCGGCATTACATTTGATGCAGGCGTTTAACACCTAGTTTCCTCAGTTTATTCCCTTCAAAATTCCAATGGAATTCCTTCCGCAATAGCTTCTGGCATCTTTACCTGTTATAGAAGAAAAACGTCATATTAAAACGACGAAAACTGCGCCCTCGTTAACGGATGGTCCATCTCCGGCGATTTTTTGGGAGGGCCTTTCACCGCCATTAAGATCATGCGCACATTTTACTTATTAATACGCTAGGCGAAGGCGCAACTGCATTCCCTCAGCTTCACAAAACAGGTACCTATATAAGAAGCTGATGCAAACTGGCAGCCTTCCACACGTGATTTCTGTGACTACGCACATGGGCTTTAAATGCACAACTCTCGTCCCTTAATCATTTTGAAAAATCGACACCTCTGGTGGGCGTATTAAGTAATTACTTTTCTGTCCGTTTCGTTCCGTATATGGCTCATACAAGCGGAATCTGGCGACTTACGCTTGACAAAACGTGTCACCGTTTTTGAACCCTGCTGCGAATTATGACACCGACCTAGTCCTGTGATTACAACAACTTTGATCCTAAATCTGACAAATCCTGAGATTGGTCACAGGAAGTGGTATCTTCACAGCGAAAACTCCGTGAAACACTGGTTCCAAATGTGATTAAACCCCGATCTGATACGGGGGATGGGTCGATGCAACCCCTCAACACTCAGCTTTTTCAGGATTCCCCTCCGGCATGTTGTGCAACTGCGTCCACATTTTCGTTAGCCCATGGGGCTTCCATCGCGCATATTTTGACACCAGAACGGGTTCCCAGCTTTCTGGCTTCAGAGCAGCGGCGTTTTTTGTTTTCAAGGAACACTGTATGGCGATCTACGGCCGGCGCGGGCGGCGGGCGGCAAGCAATGATGCTGAGTAGTCGTGCGGCGGGCCGACATTGTATCAACGGGGCCAAATACCATAAATATACGCTCCAAGCACATGCAGATATACACCACTGAACTAAAAATTGGAAAAGAAACGCGCCCCGAGTAGACTTCGTGTCGTCACAAACCATGGCCACGTATGCGTGATGCGAAGATGAAAAACTGCGATTTTATGGAAGACTTAACCATTTACCTGGCATGATTAGGTCAACTTTTACCTGTCCGCATAAAAATATTCACAAGCGGGAGTTTTCATTGAGGTCAATCCAGTGCTATGTTACACTAACGACAGTTCTCATTGAAGCCAATCCCGTACTATGTTACGCTAGTATCAATTTTTTTAGTTTGGAAACACCAGGAAAGTCGCAGTAAACCCCTATCAGTGTACGTTATAAAAATTGTAAATCAGGACAAAGGTTTAAAAGGACATAGCTGTAAACTGCATTGGATGAAAAACGGTTATCTAAATATAGCCAATCTTCAAAATGGCTATCCCAGTTCAAAACCTCATACACGTGTGGAGCATTACCAGTAACAAATTATCAGTCGCACGCATCGTAGCAAAATATCCGAACACACAAACTACAGCGTCGAGGCAGTGGTGGCTATTCCACTCAACGCTCTGCTCCTGCGGCACCCATCGGCCGTCCCCGGCACCTGGTGCAGCTTGAAGCGGCTTCCGGTTGTAGAACGTCAGCTCGCAGCGCACGCACTTAAACGGCTTCTGGCCTGAGTGAATGCGCTCATGCTCGGTGAGGTGCGACTTCTGCTTGAAAACCCTTCTGGCAGACGCCGCACACGAACGGTCGGTGGTTGGTGTGCACGCGTACGTGGTTCTCGAAGGCCGCTGGCCGAGACGAACTTCTGCGGGGAGGACGAAGGCGGTGGATCTCAGAAACGGGACGACAAGCCCGACCGGAGCTGGGGCAGTCACACCCACCGGCACTGGCCGCGGATCGCGGCGACCGCCGCAGCTCGGTCACGATATCGGGGCCAGCGGGCGGCCCAGTCTTCACAAGAGGCGCAGGCGAGAAAAGGCGAGCCATATCCGGCGGGGCGACTGCACTGCAGTTGCAGGAGATCTTTCCGTCGTCGGTGGAGTCTCCACCTTGCCACAGAGGTTGCAGAGGATGCCTTGTTGTCGCGGTAGCGGCGCGGCGCAGGGGGCCGCTGCCCTTGTCGTGCAGTTCCTTGTGGCGCTGCAGATTCGACTCGAACTTGAACCTGTCGCGGTCAGACCTCGGTCAGATAGCACCCAGGCGAATGGGTGCATCAGTCAAAGCACTTTAACTGTTCAACAAATGTTTTACTTTTGTAACTCCATGTCTAGAACCTCCGACATGGTGCCAGAGGGCCGCACCCAAGGCCGTTGTAAACGTCACCGCGCGCATGGCGCACTCAGCGCACCACTGGCGCCGGCCCGGCACGTGCCACTCACGAGCGACCGCAGACGGGGCAGCTGACGTGACGCACGGGTATCGTGGCAGCGCACGTGGCGGCGCAGGTGGACGCGCTGCCGGAAGCCTTGCCACAGTCGGGGGCGGGACAGGCGAACGGCCGCTCATCCGTGTGGACGCGCGCGTGCACCTGGTGGCGGGAGGCGGCTCGGGTCAGTGTGAACCTCGCGCCGAGCGCCACTGGCGCGACCGGTGTCGAGAACGGCGCTGGCACACGCCTGGGGCGAGCTTTCAGGAGGGGGAGGGGGCGTTTTACTTGTAAATACTCATCGTAGCTGGCGCCAGACTCGTATAACTGTTAAGCAAATAAATAGTCTGTGGTTGTAGGAGAAACAAAATCAGACAAACACAAAAAGTCAATCGCTTTGAGCGCATGACTTCTTCTGCTTGGGACTAACAACACAACCTGTTCTTTCAGCGTTATCTCACCTGTCAGTGTAACGTGTCCATTAAGCATCACATTTGTTTATAGTGTTTAATGATTTACAAAAATAACACCCATTATACGACCATCGATACGTGGAGTTATGACGCCAGACATCGATACGTGGAGTTACAGACATCGTGGATGACGCCAGACCATCGATACGTGAGTTATGACGCCAGACCATCGATACGTGGAGTTATGACGCCAGACCATCGATACGTGGAGTTATGACGGCAATCATCACATCGCTTGCCGACCGTTGATGCAGGCACCTATGGCAATAACCATTACATTGATCAGCAATGCCTTCCACGGTCGGCTTAGGCACAAGATGGGAGGAGGAAGGACATAAGTCGCGTTCCAAGACCAGAGGCAGACACCTTTCATTCACCAGGCTCAACCGTGCATGACCATGTGTAAATAAACTGTTCAGCGACCGGCGTAAAGCCACGGTAGTGGCAAGAATCTCGCTCCACTGTGACAAATACTCGGGCCGGCATCGGCACCGATGACCGACAGCGACGCGGCGTTGCAACCTTCAGTGTCTGGCGGTTTGCAGCACATTTTGCCACAGAAGCTGCACTGCACGCTGCTGGAGGTTCGCCGCGTGGCCGTCTGCTGCTGCTCTCCGATGTGACGTCATCGCCGGCCTGGAACGGCGTCATAAAGGATGCAAGAGTTCACCACTTCCAACGCGAGGAACAGCATTCTTCTGATTATACGGGATCGGCCCAACCGCAGTAAATATATCAGAACATGGATACTCACGTTTACAATGCGTGTATATTTCTGGTGCTAACATGGAAGTGTGTCGCTGGGACACTGGGAGGGGCACTCCTGATCGCCCGGTGACTGCTAAGGTTTTAAGGACATTCATTCCCCATTCTCCAGGCAACACAAGACAATCGGATGGAAAACATTGGAGCATCGCGACCTACGGGGCATGCTCTACGAGACATAACCAAAGATGAACCACCAGTTACCAGATTATACATCCGAATATCGGGACAAATCACAAAACCCATGCAAACACTGCCGAAATAACGAAGAATTTCATTCGAACAGTCAAGCAACGCGCAAGAGACTACAATATAATATAAATATATATATATAAATATAATAGATATATAGATATATATATATATGTATTCCTGCATGCATGATTTTTAAAAGCTCCAACGAATTACGCGCTGACAAGTTCTTGATGCATTGTTCGAGGTTCTGAGATTTTGACTGACCAACATCGTTAAGATAAAAATTGTTGGTACAAATCACTCATGCACTTGTCGATATCCGTATATTCCAACGTTTCGATAACTTAACTGATCATCGGAGAAATTTAAAGGGCGTAAGAAATAAGTTTTGAGTTTTAAAGGATGAAAGTTATGCACCGCTATCTTGAAAGCTTCTTTTAGTACAAAGACAAAGATTCCTATCGTTACTTGGATACGTATAAAATGCACCTCTAATAAAAATACTACAAAGAC